GATGAGTTGGTTTCGCTAGCAGCTTCCGAACTGATCCCCGATGCATTCTGGAGAGTGCAACGAGGCTAGCATCCGTATAAAACGTACTGCTACCTCGATCTGATACCCTTTGGGCTCTGCAGATATATGTATGAGCAATGGAACAGGTGAAAAAGTTCACCTATCTCAGGGATGCGTTTACTGGTGATGGAAAATCAGAGAAGGAGATCGACCGGGAAACAGGGATAGTCAGCTAGGATCTGCGTGAACAATCTTGAACCGTTGTGACCAAGGCATAATTGAGTCTGAAGGCGAAGTTGTCTGCGTTCAAATGGACTTATATACCTATGCACACCCACGGTTATGAACTATCATCAGAAAACTTCAATCCTGAGCATAAGCGGTTGAAATGTGCTTTCTGAGACGAGTCGCTGAGCTCACGCGTCTTGACAGAGTCCGAAGCTCAGATAACCGAGTAAGTATCGGTGCACAGTCGCTGTTTCCCCAGACTGAGAAGTCACAACTGCGATCATTTGGGCACGTCTTAGTAATGCTTCTAGAAACGAAGGCGAAACAGCTACAGCTACTATTCGCACAACCGAACGGCCGAAGAAATCGAGGACGGCCAAGAATAACAGGGCACAGTTTCTGGAATGAGTCAGCTTCAGACTCAGATTACCTTTTGCCGAAGCTGAGACACTGGCGCAGAATCTGAAGCGTTGAAGACACTGCTTGACATCGCTGCCTCCGCGATTTGAAAGGACAAACGGCCAACGAAAGCGACTGAGTTCTTTCTCATGCTAGATACAAAGCAGTCAGACGACGAATGAGCTTAGCGAGCGAGAAACAGCCCAAACAAACTAAGCACTGCTAACACGGTGTGTTAAGATAAAGTGAGTGTCAGTCAGGGTATAATCAGAAGCAAACGTTTTGAGCTGTACATATGGACGTATTTCTGCATAATCGTTAGGGATCATTCTGGGATCAAAGCAGTGCAGCTGTTCATCTGTGAGCCAGAAAACATTTTGTCTGTGGAAATCGTTACAATGCTCATTTACCAAGGGCAATAGGATGCCCAACTAATTAACGCAGTTTCCAGCTTTTATCTCATCTAAGATGGTCGCTAAACTGTATGATCAGTGCCTCATTCACACTGTCACTTCTTCGTCAGGATATCAGCTGTTGTGGGGAATTGTTGTGATCGCCTTTGGTGCTAGCATTCGCATAGCATTTCAGGTTTATACTCTCCACTGCATTCAAAGCCTTGCAACACGTTTGCTACAAACTAATAGTTATAATATCGCATAAAAAGGGACTTTTTATCAACTCAAAAAACGCAAAATTCTTGTTGAAGTTACGGATTTATGCCAAAAAGACTTGTCTAACAGGAAGAATTACCACTGCCTAGCTCTGCCAAGGATACCTGAATCGGAAAGTGAATCGTCATTATATACAAGGTCCTGCGATTTAACCCTGTTTATGAATCAAGTCCAGAAAATATTGGTACGGCAGACTCCATAATTAACTGGGAATTCTACAGACTACTACCCTTCGCTTTTAATAACAGCGATCCCCTCATTACGTCTTTCTAACAGACACATGCGTATTCCATAATATCATACGGCATTCCACAATGGTTGACGATGTACTGAGTCAAATAAGGCTCAAAAATCGATGAGTGGAACATACATTCAATTGGATTCATTTCAATTGCTGTATAACTGTCTGGATAACAATTTTGCCATAGTAAGTGTTCTGACTAAAACCTGCCTGGTTAGAATGGATTCTCTATTAACTATCTCTCTGAAACTCTTCATGATGATCCAGGAGAGCGATTTATCTGAAATTCACTGTAATGGACTGCAGTTGAAGAAGTGGGTTGCACTCGCCTTATTCATTTACAGCGTATCTTTGAATTTTTGTTACCAAAGCAAAAATCTGTGCCGTATGTTAAACTAAATACGATACAGGATAATTTCATTTATATTCCATTACATCTCGTTAATTCCTTTTGAGTTTGCCTTGGCGGAAGTTTGTTCCAAGCCACCGACCTTTAGCATCTGAATGGAGTGCATGGCCATCTGTGGTCGATTATGTGCTGCAACATTACAGAGCATCTGCATCGCGCCCTAGCCTCGACGAAAAGGTGAATAATATAACATGGTCTTTTGAATGTATTCCTTGTGGGTGGGTCTCAATTAATTTCTAAACAAGATTGAGACTGTACAGACACCCTAAATAGGAGATTCAGAAAATTTCTTGTACGGTCTCAGATGAACCAACCTAACAGACACACGCGGCAGATTTAGAGACTTTGAAAAGGTATTGGGGCAAACTGGTGGAGGAAGGGGTAAATATGGAAGTCATCTGCTGAAAACGCTGAGGACATGTTTGATGCAATTCTCTTGATGTGCTAAAGGTTTGCTCTTGGCTACATAAGTCAATATGATCTAAGTAGCGCATCTAGCAGATAGCGGTCATGTTAACTGAAGGGCAGACTCATAGATGCACTTCCTTGCTCATTCGAATTTTCCTAGTTTCCCTTCTAAGCATATCTCCCGCTATATCAGCTGCAAGCAACCACTGAACGAGAAGACGTTCCCTCCTTCCTCATAAGCACATTAAAGCACCGCAAAGTCTGGTATTTTGCTTCATTCTTATGTTCTATAAGCGAGATGATACCCTACTACCAACACAAGTTAGCTAGTAAATTATTGATCATACGCAACTAAACTTACTTTGATGTAATGCTATAAGCCTTGCTTCTGTTTTGGCCTCACATCATTATCATCATCATCATCATCTTCCATCGCCGCTGCTCCTTTCGGGTCGCGGAGGCAGACACGTCAGACAGAGCTTCCAACGTTCCCGATCCTGTGCCAGAGTCT